TTGCTCTCTGTGGATCAGTTTTAATAACTAATATTACTAGGATCCACCCGGATTATATACCAACGGATCGATTACCTGTACTATATATAAATTATAATTAGGCAGTAATTGTTATTACAAACAAGTTTTATTAAAAATGATAGACATTCTATGTCTATTGAATTTATTTACCATCTTAAAACATTTAGAGATTCTTCCATTCACTTTGTTTACACCTCTGAAGATGACTCATGTTAGCGGAAAGGTTAGACATTAATTTCTGATGTTTTATATCTGCAACACCTAGATTTGTGAAAACTGATTTGCAATTTCGAAAATTCCATGAATAAATTCAATAGATATAGAATGTCTATCCTTTTTAATATATCCTAAATCACCCATAAACACGCTGGGTAACTTTCAAAGGGAGTTCATGATACAAAATGATGAGGTAACAATATTATCAATTTTATTATTAATTACACATATTTTAATTTGTATTTGCAATACAAATTATTGTAATAATAATTATTATACAATATTACTTAGATCAAACGCAATAATAAATTAATAAATTTAATTTTTCACAATTTGTAAATAAATTAATTCCCTGATACACAGAACAACAGAAAATCGATAAAACTATCAACATATTAAAATTATTAATATGATATCATTGAAATAAATTTAATAATTTTAACAATTTATATATTGATTCCACATGTAACAGGAGAAAGCTAGAGAAGAAAGATTTATTCTTTCATTTGTATTTCCCCCTTTATGGGCATTATTATATTTGTGATATTATAAAACCGTAATTCATGGGCGGAACGGAATGGCTGAAAGGAAAAGAATTGACAAACATGCTTTGTTCTCAGAGAGACTTTTATATTAAGAAGACATACACAAAACTATATATACATATATACAAGTGTCCCACACAGAGAAAATATATCAAAATAGAGTGCAATGAAAAAGAAAAAGGGAAGGGTGTTACATGTAATATGGAGATACTCCTGTGTCTGGAGAAGCCATGTTTAGGACTCCACATTCAAATGAGCTGTATTCATCTATGTCTCAGGCAAGGACATATTCTACGAACAGGAAACAGCAAGTCTTGGGTTTTCCCTAATTGAGGACTGCGAGCTGGAGTTTCATTCTATATCTGTGAAAAATATATTCCCAAAGGAAAACAGCACTATGGAGGCCTTGGCCTAAAGAAGACAACCTTATGGTTCAGCTGCTGAAAACAAAACTGAAATTTGACGACAGCTTTTGTCATTGTAAGGAGTGATGTCACTAAGCAACCGTCATGTGAGACACGTGACTTATCTTTGCCAAAGGGAGATAAGTATCTGTATCCCTACACATGAATAACACTTAATTTGCCAAAAGGGAAAGAAGTTCCTCTTAAATGTAATTAATTACTATGAATTGATTACGTATTATAATTTTTAATGGTGAAGGTCATAAAAACAATAAAATAAAACAGCAATCATCTGCTTAGGGAGATTCATATTTATTGAAATAATATAAAGTATGAATGTCATCTTTTTGTGTGCGTAGTTTCATTTTTTTTAGGTATTTTTTCAAAATAATAATTATATTTTTTATTATGCATACTTGTTCCTTCATCACATTTATTTTAAAATAAACTAACGGCGGCAAACCAGCATGCATATATTTATTTATTTACTATCAAGTCATATGACACAATTATCCAGCCATACAGATTACATTTTACAGTGACACTACAGCCTCTTCATCTATCAAGTCGTTGCCAAACATCCGATTATATTTGTCTATAAAAAGAGTTCCAATGCAGTGTAGTGAATTTTATGAATAAATGTTGTTTTATGTATATTTAACTTTATTTAATAATGCTGTTATAAGGTATTATGAATATTTATTATTTTCACACGCATAATAGTTGGAATATAATATTCAAGTGTTTGTTTATATAATCGGATTGATATAAAATGTGTATCGAAAACAAATACTGAATGTCCTGTTAAAATGCCGTAAAACAGAAAAAAAAAAAAAAACGGACATAGCTCAAGAGCCCAATGTCAATTTCAGATGAAACTTGGCATTGCGCTCGGTAGGGATTCAACGAGCAACATGGTCCTAAATTATTTTGGGTATTATGTATCGTTTAAAATATATTTCGGGAACAAACGTATATACATAAAAGATTAGTTTTAGAATGATATATATACATATATATGTGTGTGTGTGCGTGTGTATGCGTGTGTGTGTGTGTGTGTAGAAGATCAAATATTGATCAAATATGAATAGGAATCCGACAAAATGATAGAATAAAGAACAAGTAGGAAATATGTCTCAATCTAACATGCTTCACTTTATTAAAGCTTCGTCAGAGATCAAGATGGAAGTGATAAAAATGATAAAAAGCAGAGAGACGCAGATTAATGGTATGTTGTGTTTGGCTATTTCTTATTGGTTAGATACGGGTCACGTGTCATGAAGTAACAGATAATATTCAAATATATATGAGAAACAATCTGGACGCTAAAGTGTGTAAAAGTTAGACGAAGCAGGATGTTTGAAAAATATTGTTTTGGTTTGATTTTTCATTAAAGCATATCGCATGTATATTTTGTATATATCTTCATTGATTTTTATGTGTTGGAGAGACATAAGTTAGATTCATGAATAATGGAACTGTAGAAAAATCGTTAAGTAATGTAGTTTTTTAAATGTGTGTTAATAGTTGGTAGTATTGTTATAAATATGTTTTTATATTTTCTCTTAAAAGGGTTATGTTCGTTTTTCTTTTTCTTTTTTCTTTTTTTAATAAGGCTAGCATTGATGAAATATCTAACCAATGAGAAAAAACTAAACTCAACATGCCATTAATGTGCATCTCTGCTTTTTATCATTTTTTTTATCATTTCCATATTGATCTCTGACGAAGCTTTAATAAAGTGAAACATGTTAGATTAAGATCTGTTTCCGACTTGTTCTTTATCCTATCATTCAAATATGTGCGTGTGTGTGCGCGCGCACGAGTGTGTATGTTGAATTTTCATTTTCTTATTTGTTTATATTTATTTTTATTATTAATGTAATTACTATATATTATTTTATAATTTGATGAATTATTTATGTATTTATTTATTTTAAGTAATGAAAGGCCTAGAATTAACTATTTTTTGTCAAAAAATTTAACGTTTATGGTCATATATGTTGGCTTAGAAAAGAAGTATGTTTTTTTAAAGTATGGAAAAATTTGAAAATAAAAATCCAGGACGTAAGTTAATATATTGGGGAGAGTCGATAACTGCACTCCCAAGAACTTTCCGTCTTAAGTAAGTTATTTCATTTTTTAATAAGCATGGCATCTATCTTTCGATATGAATTTTTTAAGAAAATGAATAAAATAAATATATGCAACTCAAAGATCTTGTTTTATATTACAAGATCCTTATAGATGAATTGATATTGTCTTTCCCAATTTCTGGGATAAGGAGTTATCACTTTTTATATTATTTATATTAGGATCTAACCACATGGTCCAGTGGATAAAAGCGTTAGTTAAATCCAGTGACTAGATCCAAAGAGTTGAGTTCAATACCAGTCTACAAAACTTGGATAGTTGAGTTAAATAACTGAGAGATCGGGAAGAGGCATGGCATGTGGAACTAGAATTCCGGTGGACGAAATAAAGGGTTCGGCTCGAAATTTCAATTACCTGAAGAAGGCCGGTGCGTACAACGACCGAAACGTTGGGAATATGGTGATGAGGATAACAGTCCGAATAATGTAAATAATGTAAGTAATCATAATACCTCATCTCAGAGATATAGACAGAAAATAGTCCGAATTTAAATAAAGGGTAGATATTAGCTGAATACCTTGACACAACGGTGTATCTCTTGAACAGCAAATGATAAACAGTGGTTTGCGAAACTGTCAAATTAACCACTGCCCCGTGGCAGGAGCTCTTTATATGAGGATTTTCTAAATGATAAATACGTGCTCACCAACCTGACCTCACTACCGGTGGCGTATATTGGTCATTGTTACAAAATGTGCACTGTGTTACCTTGCTGAACCTAATTCTCAGACATAAGTATTAATTAGTAACAAACACAAGTTTTAGGCTATTTCTAAAGGCTATTTGCATGACATCTATACGCAAAAAAATACAATAATTTACTAAGTCTTTGGTTCTTTGGATTTCCTTAAACTTTATATTTCTCGATTATTATATATCGTGTAGACTTATGGATCGATTTCTACTCACAACAGTACAATAATCGGAACAAAAGCTGACGGCTGATTGCCACTCCTTTGTTTATTACTATTGAATATTAAATAGGAAAAAAACTAACTGCACAGTATTGAATAACGACTGAACATATGAAATATTGATAAGATGCCGTTCTTCTATACATAAAGTAATATATTAGCGTGAAGTTGTTTAGATCCGATTTTTCAGTTTGTTATCAAAAATTAAGTCAAGAACTCAGTGGTCAACTTTTAAAACTGAAAAAGAAGAAACTTTTATGTCTGTCTACATTTCTAAAATGAGGTATTGTAACTATTTACACTAATTACATTATTCGGACTGTTGCCCTCATTTTTATTGCCACATTCACGACGTTTTGGCCATTGTACGTTTCGGTCTTCTTCAGTTGACACCTGTTGGAATTTTGAATCGAAACCTTTAATACACGGGGATAGATTGTTGTAATTCCACGTGCCATGCCTTTGGAGATCTATGTTTTAATTAATTTCCCTCGATAACTTTCCAAGTTTTTGTTCTCTCTGCTGTGACTATAGGGACACAAAAAGTTGTGAGTTCAATCTCTGGCCACAGTAATTTGTAAGATTTAAAGGTTATCTTCTACAGGGATATATATATATATATATATATATATATATATATATATATATATATATATATGTATGTATTGAAACACCGATTCATAGTTTTCACACACACACACACACACACACACACACACACACACACACACACACACACACACACCTGTTGAAACACCTGTTCCCGTACGATCACCGAAGTTAAGCAGCGTCGAGCCTAGTCAGTACCTAGAGGGGTGACTGTTTTTGGAATACCAGGTGCTGTAAGCTTGGATGTACAGTGGGAGGTATAAAAGATAATGGTTCGGAATTGTTAATCAAAGGGCCGAGTTCCAATTCCAGTTGGGTTCCTTATATTCACTTATGCGCAAATACTCTTCAGAAAAGTATAAATCTACCTCGTCTCCTCCCAGCTATCGGTTAATTAGTAAGACTTGTATCACTAAACAATTATTATCTCCAAAAAGAAATATCTTACACTCTAAAAATATTTCTGGCTTTAAATAACCTGCAAAGTGCTGATAAGCCGTAGTAAACGAATCAATCAATCAATAAAACATATAGGCAGAGAGTTTGACCAGCACATCTGGAGACGAATCTCCAATTGCAGGATATCTACCAACCACCCCACGCGGTCAGATGTGGCACCAGGCCAAATTTAATGTGGGGTAGTAGTCTCGGCCAAAAATTCCCTGTAGACCCCGTATAAAACGAGGTCGGATAGCTGTTTCCCGAGACGAGATTCTGCACCTTGACACAGCCCCGCCTGGGGGATCCTCCTTGCTCGGGGGTATACAGTCCGACTAGCAAAACAGGAGACGAATCTCCAACTGCAGACCAACATACAGTATTTACTACTGTATTTATGTGAATGGGCACATACTCATTATCGTCCGTAGGTATGCTACAATAATAAGTTTCAATGAAGATGATCATCAATTTTTTATATCTATTTATTTTAATGATTACTTTATTTCGTATTCATTTAACGACTACGGGTGTTAGGAAAAACATTTTCCTTCCCAGTTAAAAAAAAAAAAACGCACTCCTTGCTCGTGACAAGGTAAAAAAAATTTCACATATTTTTAAGGTAATTTATACACATATTACTCAACAAAAAACACATCAATGTAATCTAAAGATTTTTTTAAGTTTACTTTTGTTCTTTAGTATAAAAATAAATATCACAGATATAAAACAAATGGAAAGATTAAAATTATATAAATAAACAACTTAAAAACAATATCACAAAATTCGTAATATAATTAAAAATATATATAACTAATTTTGTGATATTGTTTTTAAGTTGTTTATTTATATATTTTTAATCTTTCCAAGAAAGAAAATATTTAACTGAAATCATGAAAAGAAGAAAAAAAGGAAACGTCCTTGGGAATTGGGATGTCTTAACAGAGTGACGTCATGCTTAACACAACTGGAACGTCTGTCTGTTGAATCATCGCCTAAAAAAAAGTCTTCTGTTCTGTGACACATTACATAATGGAAGCCATGTTGGCTTGACCTGTATCTGTCAAAAGATTCACATGATTCTTGGTTTTAGTTTTTGATTTCGCCATCTTTTTTGCATTCATTTCAATCGTTTACATTATATTTTTTCTTTTTCTAATTTTTAATTTTTCTTTCTATATTCATAGAATTTTTTGCAATCGTTTTTGCTGATTTTTCATCATTTTTTTTCTTTCTTCTGTATCTCTTTCTCGCCTCTTTCTTTTCAGTTATTTCTTTTCATTATTAATTCCTGGTTATTCGTTACTGAATCTTGTGTTTACCATTTTTTGGCAACTTTCTCGGTCGAATGTCTTTCAATCATTAAAGTAAATAGCGTGAAGAAAAACTTGAAAAGCTGCTTCCAACGAAACTTGAATTCACATCCCATATCCCGAGAATTCGTCATTTACAGACGACGCCTTAACCAATTCGGACAGGGAAACTATGACCAGACGGTACACAACTGTACAATTATATTGCTACGTTATTTACCCAAAACTTTATACTTTATTAATTTGTTGTTACTTTCTAGAAACAGTCTTAGATTATTAGAATTTTAAGTTAGAAAATGAAAAATAATTTCTTTTTCATACATTTTCGCCAAAATTTAATCTTTCATCTACATCTTTCTTTCTTTCTTTATTTTTGAATACTACATCCATTCCCTCATTTATTTATTTATTTCAACTACGTCCACTCCCTCATTTCTTTCTTTCTTTTCGACTACAATAAGAATAAAGAAACAAATTAAATTCGTCGTTACGAATCATCTAATGATTCAAGGATAGAAAATTTCCCCATTCAATTATTCTTGGCAAAAGAAAAAAACATCAATCTATCAATTATGCTCATAATTTAGAAATGAACAGTTCCATTTCCCTGGAACGGGCAAATAACATTTATTTGCAACCAAAAAAGAAAAGAAAAGAAAACGCGGCCGTGGAATGAAATCTGAAATGCATATAAAAATGTTTATTTCCTAACCATTAGCGACTACTTTCATTTATCTATATGTTTACTGAGTCTTTTGAATTTTGTTTGGAAATGTAACAGAAATTTGATTGCGTTCTTACAAATGACTGAATATTGTTTGACTTCTAACTAGAATTTTGCTAACTTTAATTATTTAAATAAGTCAGTGCCATCTTCAGGGATCTCTTCAAAGATGGCTAGTGGAACCCAGCCGTGGCTTAGAAGACTCACGAAGTAAAGTGAACTGTGAATAATTTTATCTGAGTCTGAAGTGCCTGGTGCTTTATGACCAGCAGTGAAATAATCTACGAAGTATGATCTTCAAAGCTGTCATCCGCAGACGGAAAGGAAATATAGAAAATAAATAAACGGATAAAAACTTTCGTGATCAAGTTCCACTTGGGCGGAAGATCGGAAGTTCTGATTGCAGGTTTATATAAGTAGTATCCCATTTAAAACTGTCAATTTTGAAATCATCCGATAACAGGTGGCAGGCAGTCGGGGTGAGGATGTAGAGAGGCAGAGTTTCGAGTCACGTGTCATGATATAGAGATTTTTTTACGTAACATTGGTCTTTTCTGCGGTGACTGACTTGGATTTAACAAAACCATGTTCATTAAATGTAGTGATTTATAATATTTGCTTTGCCAAATGAGGGATTTATCGGATTTAAAGAATTACCGAATTGCCGGATTTAAGGAACATATTCTCACCACCCAATTATTTCTTTAAATTGAGGTTTTACAGTATTTCTTGGTCATAGAAAATATTGCTTATATATATATATATATATATATATATATACACCTGTAAAATGAAAACGAATAGAGTCCAGTTCCGACGTTCGTAACATTCAATTTAAAAGAGGGCTCAATACGGAATTAGAGCAATATTATTTATTTTAGAATAATACATCAAAAACATTAAAAAAAAAAAAAAAAACGCTACACAAATGCAATCAAGTTTCGATGCGTATTAACACATCTCATCAGGCGTTAGCAAATAATTGTTGAGTAAACAATTTATTGAGATTTAAACAAAAAAGAAAAGAGAGGAGATGGTTGCAGGGTTTGTTTTGTTTTTATTCGGATCAACCAATAGGAATGACCAACGCTAAGTTCAAATTAAGGGGGAAAAATGAAAGTTAAGAAGCAATCATACTTAAGAGGTTATGACCCGCAGTTTTAGAATCGTAGACAATATCCAGACGTCATATACGGTTCGGGTGTAAAATGGCTACAGTGTTATACATTAGACGATGTCATAACCTATGAAAGATGAAAGGTAATTTAACAAGATACTCGACAAACTACATTCCCTGTGAGCTAAAAAAAAATTCTCATTTTTATAGTTGGTAAATAAACCAACCTTTTAAGAAACAGATGGAAAATTTAAACATATAGATCTAAGAAAATTATTTAAACATATAGATCTAACAAAATAAAATAGAATGTAACTGTTAACTAAAGGGGCTTTATATAGGGTGTTAATAAAACCAATCAATGCAAAATGTCAAAATGTCTGCGGGACGCCAATACATCTATACTAAATATTATCTACACTACTAGAAGATTAATGTAAAATTCATACTACGTCGAAATCAATCTTACTGGCAGAAAGATAAGCCTTATATGGTGCAAGGTTTAACTAAAATCTAAGAAGCAGCAAGCAATTCTTTGATAAGGATACTTTAGGGATGCTTTATTAAATGAAAGATTTGAATTAATGGTTAATTGTAAACATACCATACCTTTGACTTTACAATCTTTCTAAACTTGGAAATTGAAGTTTTGCGATGTCATTGGATTTTTAACTGTAGAATAGATTGTGCTGCAACCCTTGAATTCAGTCCATTTTTCCACAGGTAGTGTAAAGTGGGTTTAATTGCAAGCATCTGGTTTGTATCGAATGTGGGTAAAAGTTTCCAGATATTTTGGCAATTAAAATTAGTTAATTAATAATAATTAATATATTTGCTAATTTATCAAAATATTTTATTTGTCATTCTCCGACTTTATGCCTGCGTCCCGGAATTTTTCCCATTCCATTTTGATAAAACGGTTCTGGCTTCGACATGAATTGTGAATGAAATTCTCAACACCGAAGACATCTTCAAATATCTGCGAAGATCAAAAAAAAAAAAAGAAAAAAAAAAGAAGCTGCATTGACCAAAGTGAATGATAATCAGTTGGCACCTAGTCCGGTGAATTTGCCGCATCAAGAATTTGCAATCCCAAGTTTATTAAGTTTGTGTGTGTGTGTGGGGGGGGGGATAAAAATACGGATGACCATTGTCATTCAACAGCAAGACTTTCCCCGTTCTGTAATTTTTTTTATACTATAATTGCAACGCTCAAATTACTAAGGTAACAATCATAACGCTCTAGAGTAACAATATCACCAAGATTCAGCATTTTGTAGTACAGTAGGCATTCATATCCCACCAACGTGTGCACATATAATGGTTATGAAGACTATTTAATTTCTTCTTCTTTTATGTGCCGTATCCCTTCAGGATGTAGACGATCATGGCTCTCGACAACTTCCTGTCCTCTGCAGCTCTTAGTAAAAGTTTGTCTTTCCCCTATATCTCCTAAACTCTGTTCTGCCAACCATTTACACAAGATTGTTAGGTAGGTTATTAGCTGTTTTCATCTGTCCCTCTTGCCTTCAGTATGTCCTGTAAGTGTCAAATTCTCCAAGCCTTCTTCCTCATTATATGCCTTAGAAATTTCAATTGTCTCTTTCTGATTCTAAGTATAAGTGTCGTCTGTGTTTCTGTGTTCC